AAGAAACCCAGCTCTTAGCTGGTCTCTTAATAGGTTTTACAAGATTTTGGGGACTATTTAGCTGATAAGGACAGGAAACCAACTGGCCGCCCAGCTAAAAGTCAACTTGCTAGGAGTCTAGCTAGGCCAGAAAACCAACTTAGACTGGTTTAAGCCACTGCTTGGAATACTGTTACTGATTTCATCCCTCAATTCTTGTAGATGTTGATGAGTGTGAGGACGAGACACAGCTGTGCGTCCCCAACGGAGGGTGTTTGAACATAGAGGGTTCGTTCCTGTGTGTGTGTGATGCCGGCTTTGTGTCCACCAGGGATCCACCAGGCTGTGAGGGTACGTACACACATATTCTCTCATCAATGCATCCTGCTGTGGTTTGTCCTGATTCTCAGCGGTGCTGTGTTGATATTTATCTGATGTTTAGGCAAAATTAATCTGTTGCTTTGTTGAAAAGCTCCAGTGTTTGGCAGTACAAGAGAGAGTGAGAGAAAGAAAGGGATTGTGTGTCTAATGGGTTTCACATATGAGCCAATGTTATTTTTCCTCTGGTGGGACGCGTGTATGTGCTCCCGGGGCCCAGTGAGGTGCCAGAGTTGTTTTAAATGCCCCGTCCAGCAGTAAAATGGGGAGAAGGAAGCGTTTTAGCTGAATGTCTAGACAAAGCAAAATATATGACATAAAATGACCTACTCAAAACCAATGTGTGTGTGTGGGCTTTTTCAGATGTAGATGAATGTGTGGATGGCAGCAGATGTGTAAATGGTACCTGTTCAAACACAGAGGGCTCGTATCTCTGCCATTGTGAAGCAGGTTACCGCCTGGAGCCAACCAATCAGACGTGCCAGGGTAAAAATCTAGAATCCAAAACAATTTGCTTTTTGTATCATCCTCCACCCAGAAGCTCTTTGTTGATTGACTTATTAGTGTGCTGATTGGTTGGTTATGCTGTCTGTCAGATATTGATGAGTGTGCTGACTTGGGGACGTCTATTTGTGTGGTTTGGGCCTGTCAGAACACACCGGGCTCTTACCGATGTGAGGTGCCCTGCCCACCTGGCCTTTCCCGAGGCGAACATGGCGTCTGCATCGGTGAGCGCCCACGGGCATCAGCTTCAGCTGTGATGTCACCGCCTTAGCTCCACCCAGCTTGCATTGTTGTACTGCACATCTCCATATTCTGGTTCTGATCAGAGCTGTTTGTTTGTCTCTTGTGGCTTAATCATTTGCTAATTAACACCACAGACTGCAATTATGTTTCCAATCAGACATACTCATACTCATTCCATCTCCATTCAAGTATTGTTTTTGTTCATGTACACTACTGTTTGTAAGTTAGGGGTCAGGAAAGGAATCAGAAGAATGCATTTAATTGCACAAAAGTGACAGTAAAGACATTTTAATGTCATAAAGGATTCCATAAAGGTTTCCACAAAAGCAGCACTACTGTTTTCAATACTGATTATAATAAGAAATGTCTCTTGAGCAGCAAATCAGCATATTAGAATGATTTCTGAAGGATCGTGTGACACTGAAGACTGGAGTAATGGTTTCTGAACATTCAGCTTTGCCATCACAGCAATAAATTACATTTGAAAATATATTCAAATAGAAAACAGATATTTTCAATTGTAGTAATATTTCACAGTATTACTGTTTTTACTGTATTTTTAATCAAATATGTGACCCTGAACCACAAAACCAGTCTTAAGTCGCTGGGGTATATTTGTAGCAATAGCCAAAAATACATTGTGTGGGTCAAAATGATTGATTTTTCTTTTATGCCAAAAATCATTAGGATATTAAGTAAAGATCATGTTCCATGAAGATATTTTGTAAATTTCCTACTGTAAATATATTCAAACTTAATTTTTGATTAGTAATATGCATTGCTAAGAACTTCATTTGGACAACTTTAAAGGCGATTTTCTCAATATTTTGATTTTTTTGCACACTCAGATTCCAGATTTTCAAATAGTTGTATCTCGGCCAAATATTGTCATATCCTAACAAACCATACATCAATGGAAAGCTTATTTATTCAGTCAATTTCGAAAAATTAACCCTTATGACTGGTTTTGTGGTCCAGGGTCACATATGTAGCCTTGGTGAGAATAAGAGACTTTTTCCAAGAACTTTAAAACAGTCTTACTTATCCCAAACTTTTGAATAGTAGTGTGTGTGATTTTTGATCTCTACTGTTGTGTTCTTTCTCTCATCCTTTCATCTCTGCCCAGACCAGCACACAAAGAGCTCTAACATTTCCTGCTTTCTGTCTTATTGTCTCTCCCTCTCTCGTTCTAGACGTGGATGAGTGTTCTCTGAATGAGAATACCTGTGGAAGTCATGGTGTTTGTCAGAATACAATAGGCTCCTTCAGCTGCCAGTGCGACCCAGGATTCAAGGACTCTCAGGATGGGCAGGGGTGTGTGGGTACGGTTTTTTTTTTCCTTCCTAGTTTGTTATTTTCATTCCATAGTTTAAAATATGCTCAAAATTGACACTATTCAATGAATTATCACTATTAGGAAGCTTACTGGAATTTGACAGCTAAGGTGTTGTCATTGCTGCTTGTTAAAGGGATAGTTCATCCAAAAATTCTATCATTATTTACTCACCTTCATGTAGTTTAAAACCTGCATGACTTTCGTTTTCCCATCAACCACAAATACAAATATTTTACATTTTCACATACTCAAACTTTTGGCAGTCAATCCTGATGCAGTATGTCTTTAAGTTTAAATGTGTCTGAATGACATGTAAGAGTTACAGAGGAAGGAATGATTTTCAGACAATTATAATGCGTAATATTGTGGTCTGTTCCTCACAGAATGCTAATGTGTGACTTTAAAAGACTGATAAACAATAGCACACAAGTTATGTGGAGTACATTTTTGTCCTTTTTGGTGATTCGACCAACAATGTAGAATAAAACTGCTTTTTTAGACCATGGATTAGACTGGAATCTTCATCTCAGTCAAGGGTACATCATTTTAAACATTTGTCAAAATACTATTCAATTCTTTAGGTGTAAAGTTTTTTTGACTTGGAAAAAAAGTATTTAGTTGTCTAATCTCTATCTTGTCCACTTGGAGACATGAATTTAACTGATAGACGTGTGGTATGGTCTGTTTGTAAAGCTCTTGTCCTGACAGACATGTAAACCAGAGCTGGATTTGAAACCGAGGCCAGCACTCTCTGAGATTTTTTGCCACTTCCTCTCAGACAACATAAAAAAGATGGCAGACGCTTTGCTTGAGCCATGATTGATGTGAGTGTTTAGTTTCTTCCAGTCTGAGGGTGGACGGCACAGACCCCGGTAATGTTTAAAACACAGCAACCGGGATGAAACACATCAGTGGCCCCCACATACACACATAGACACATTAATACACTGACACAGAGTCAAGTCCTATTAAAGTGATGGAGCCACATGTATTTACGTGGCCTGGTGTTTAGAGGTCTGGAGTTGGTGGCTGTATTAAAATAACACAGTGTTCTTGTGCAGCCCACCTTCTGAAAGAGTAAGAGCAGAGACAGAGGAAGTTTCACTTTTATTATGCGAGTAGGAATGGGTGGTACGTGCAAAATTAATTTATGAATAATCATAATTAGATGATCTTTTAATGAGATGAAAAGATGGATTATTTTAAATTGTACATTAAATTGTACATTAAATTATCCCACGTTTATTATATATATATATATATAAATTTCCATATATATATTTATATTTTTCTCTCTATATATATATATAGAGAGAGAGAGAGAGCGAATATATAGAAATGTTAAACCAATTTTAAAGTCTTCAGTGTCCCATGATCCTTCAGAAATCATTCTAATATGCTAATATTCCAATATTTTTTATTATTTTCACCATTGAAAACAGTTGTGCTGCTTAATATTAAACTATGTTTTTTTTTTTTTGTTGGATTTGTTGATGAATAAAAAGATACAATTTTTAAAAGTTAAAAGTAAAAATCATTACAAATGTCTTTACTATCACTTTTGCTCAATTTAATTCATCCTTGCTGAATAAAATAGTTAATTTCTTTCAAAAAGAAAATCTACCATGATATTAAATTATTAGATTTATACCCCTATATACAGTATAGGCCTATTGTTCTTCTTGTTTGTTCTCAGTTTGGGATTAGTTTTTAGCAGAGAATTTTTCATACATACACTAGCAAACAAACACACACTCACTCTTAAAAACACACACACTCTTTTCAGTCTCTGAACAGAGGTTGTTTGTCTTGCCGGCTTATGTAACTGGCCACAAACAGCCTCCATCGTTTCTGGTTTCCCACGGCAATAACACACACTACACACAAACGCTAATACACACAGGACATGCATTCCTCTTTTCCTCCCACTTCTCTCTTCTCTTTCTACCCTTATCCATTCTTCCATCTCCCTCCTCAGTTTCTCTCCTTACCACATCCCTTACTCTTTCTCTTCCTCTCCTATCCCTTTGTCCTCCAATTACCTAGAAAGACAGAGATCTCAGGCCTAATAAAATGCTACGCGACAAGATTCCAGCAACAAGAATTTTTTTCTTTTTATAGTGAAAGCGAAAATTTTGTGTAACAACAAAATCACAACAGTGTTTCTTTCCTTTTCTGTCCCATTACTGACAGAAATAGTTGAGAAACGAGCTAAATTCGAACCTGTATCACCCTTGTGAGCACCTAAGTTTAATGTGTCTTGTAAATCCACTAGGTCAGCTTTCCTTTGTTGGCAGTCGACCAACAAAATCAAATCACACATCAGATGATATATGACATTTCTAAAGATAATTTTTAGCCCTTCTGTACAAGCCAGCTTCCCTGTGTCTTGAACTATGTTTTAATGAAGCAAAAGGATAACATCTAATCCCTTTCCAGAGACTGAACATCTTAACTCCTTGTGTACTTGAAAAAAAACAAAAGCATTATGGAAAACCTATTCTGAATCAATTTCTTGGTTCCAATTGTTGCTTACAAAAAGTAAATTGCATCTCTATAAACTTAACAGATACACCACCCATACACATCCACCTATAAATACATTTACTTACCACCTATAAATAGATGTTTTGATGGTTTACAAATTTGGTTAAATAATTTGATGACAAAAAAATATAATATATCTGCATACTGTATAAACAATCAGTCGTTTTTGTTTTGTTTGTTTTTTCAAAGAAAACCTACGTCACCTGGGAAAGCTTAGATTGAAGCACTATGAGCTACAGGAGTGCAAGATTCAAAGTTGATGATTCAAAGTTCATGAACCTTAAGTACATGAAACCGATTCATTTCAAGGAGTAGTAAAGGATTGCAGTTTAAGTGTGTCACATGTTGATTCTGTAGCCGCTCTGACAAGATTCAGTGAAGGATTTGTCAGACTGATTTAAACCGGTAATCTGTGTGTTTGTGAGTCTTTCTAAGTGAATCATTTGTAGATCCAGCTCATAAGAACCCTTTGATTGTGAATCAAAAATGCACTCGCTGTATGTTTTGCTTTTGAGAAAATCACAGTTAAAGTATAATTTCTTTTGTCGTGAGGCTGTGTATTAAGCAACAGTGCAGAAAGCACCCAAACTCTTTTGTGTGTAGAAACTGATCCCGTCAAACCATACTCTAATCTGGAGTGCATGGAAAAACCGCTAGTATATATCAGTACAGTAATATATCAGGTCGTATCTGTCTTTTACATTGTTTATCTGGCACTGAAGTCCATTTCCAACTTTATATCATTCCCTAGTGGTGCGGCACCCCCCGCTGCGACTCCAGACGACCGTTTAACACTTCCAGGCTCATTGATGAGCTGGCCCACCATCACTGAGCGGGTCTGGAGTGTGTACGTGTGTGCGTCTGGCGGTATGGCTCCATTAGAGCATTCAGAGTCTATTGCACATAAAGGCTCTCCACACAAGTTGATTTATTGCATCCTTTTGTATGTGGTTCTCTGAGATGATTGATAAAACCAAGAGAATGAGAGTCACAGATGTGTGAAGTATTGAGAAGAAAAGAGAGAGAACAGAGTAGAAAGGAGGAGAGAGCCTTGTTGCAGGAAATAGACACTTGCATTATAGTGCTACTTTGGTCGTCATAAATTCAAGCTGTCAGAGACAGTCGGCAGAAAAATGGGGCTGTTTTATTTACTGAAGTCAGTTGTGCACATTGTTTGTCATTGCTTTATGAGGTTCCCAAAAGCCACCATTTTGATAAGGAAAATTAATGAAAACTGTGCAGAAGGCTCTGAGCCAATCAGGACAAAGCTATAGAAATGATAAACTATGACTAGATAATGACCAGTGTTTCACAAACTTTAGAGTTCACATAAATTTGTGGTTGTAGAACGTCTGGTCAGAAATCTGGTGAAACGGTGTCTTGTGAACTTTTTGTGATTACAAGCAATTTTTGTACTTTTATAATTATTGTTGTTATTAAGTATACTTGTAGTCCATACAACTTGTGTGCTATAATTTTCAAATCTTTAAAAAACATATCATATAATACCTTTTTGCGAGCAACAGGTCAAAAGTTATTCACTGATCTTCCACTCCAGTGAGCTGTTATCTCAAGAACCACTTGCGACCAGATTGAGTGAGTGAATTGAACTCAAGAACTGATATTCTTTTTAATGAACCGGTTGAACTGGAGTGAACTATTCCTTTTAAACTAGAAGCCTGTTAACGGTATTCAGCAATACTGAACTGACTGTACTGACACTATTAGATGAGAACTGAACTGACATCATGTTTTCTACAAGGCTGCTTTACAGCTAAACTGAACTGAATCAACACTGAACTGACCTAAACAATGACACTTGTTTTTTAGGGCTGCTTTACATCAGAATTCATCTCTGCATCATTGAATAATTATTCTCCTGTTTATCCCTGTAAAGCTGATTTGAAACAATCTGTATTGTATAAAGCACTATATAAATAAAGGTGACTTGACTTGACTTGGTAGAACAGCAAATGATCTCATCCAGCACAAAACAAACTCCTGCAGTTCAGATTGTATCTTCAGTTCAATGATAAAACACATTTTCTTGCCTGCAGATGTGAACGAGTGTGAGCTGCTCGGTAATGTGTGTGGTGAGGCCATCTGTGAGAATCGTGAAGGCACCTTCCTGTGTTTGTGTGCTGATGAGATGCAAGAATTTGATCCGATGTCGGCCAAATGCTTCTCTACACAACCAGGTAAAGTTGTAGCCTACTGTAAACCACCACCACAATGTGATCGACCAATTCATTATCCTACAGAAATCGCACAAACAGTGACCTAACCCAAACCTACAAGACCTACAAGGGGCCAAAGATTGCCTTTCATCCGGACAGATGACCCCTGTCCTCCTCCTACGAAACATCTCATCTTCACTGTATACCTGAAACGATTCTGAAGCTCTTCACGTTTTAATCTCAGCCATGGAGATCCTCTAGTGCAACAGGACATTAACTTCATATCATCAGGGGCCAGCTCTGAGTAGAAGAGAGGGAGGAAAGGCATGATGAATTGGGGTTGTAAATGATCTGGCAGGAGAGAGATGAGATTCAGTCTGAGGATTACAGAGGGACCAAAGCACCATGGGGCCCAAAGCACGTAAGAGCCAAAAAGAAAGCTCCCACGCTAAGATAAAAAAGACCAGTACGGAGAGATATACAAGAAGACCCATCAGAATGAGATAACTGCTTTTGAAAGTCTAGACAACTCTTAAAGGTTTCCTGATTGGAATGGTGATATTTTGTTTTATTGTTTGGTTTCAGTAGTCCACTTTAGACATTCTACTATCTATAAGTCAACTAACTCATATTAAAGTATTAGTGGACTGTTAAGGTTAATAGAATTAGATGACGTACTTATTATTACTTTAGTCAGTAGAATGTGTATTGGAGGGCCAGCAAAATAAAGTTTTAGCAGATATTAAGTAGACAGTCTACTAATAGTTGCAAAGTTACTTACAGTTAGTCTGAAGTGGGCTATCAAAATAAACAGTTACCTATTGCTATTACTCTTTTCGTAACACTTTAGTATAGGGACCAATTCTCACTATTAACTAGTTGCTTATTAGCATGCCTATTATTAACATATTGGCTGTTTACTAATACTTATAAAGCACATATTGGTAACACTTTAGTATTGGGACCAATTCTCACTATTAACTAGTTGCTTATTAGCATGCCTATTTTTAA